CACCCACCCACCCACACACACACACACACACACACGCACACACACACACACACAATAATTCGGACCTGCAGCTGCTGCTAAAGCAGAATCCTGCGGACTGAATTGGCGATTGCCTCATTCAAGACAAAAAACTTTCCTCCCAACTTTCACCAGACTGTCAGCCCAGTTCAGCTTTGCTGAGATACAGCGGCCTACACTTTGCGCCGAGAGGAAGTTAAACACCGGTAGCAATTAATTGTAGGAATTTGTGACTATGAGGACACAAGCGCCTTACATGCTGGCCAAGAAGTGACCATAGTGCCGTTGGGGCAAGCAGCACATTGGAAAGGAATCATCCACTTCTGAATGTCAATCTCTTCCCAGTCTCTGACCTCTGTGATATAACCACCGCCTTTAATTTTCATAGTTTCTCACAGCCCCCATATCCATAGACTCTATATCTGTTCGTTTCCAAACCCGGGCTTCTCTTTCTGAGATAGGGCGGTGGAACCGGCGTTTCCTCTCTCTTTTAATACTCATGTGCTTCACTGTCTCGGCCACTTAAGCATCTGCATCCATTATATCTCACTCCGCAGTCCTGCCCGTTAGTGACTGCCTCTGCGCGGGACAAACCTACTGTTCACCCCCGATATAGAAGTTCTGAGTCCACCGTCGGACCTTTGCTCACCAAGCATTGGTAGCGTTTTATCGGCAGCTTCCGTCGTCTAAGTTTTCCGGCGTGATCTGTTGGCTTGCAGAACTGCGAATAAGCACGCACCTCAGCGCATGCCGCAGGTCTGCATTATTCTGGCCCCGTTCCGGAAAAGTGATGCCTTGGCTACGATATTCTCACCAATGTTGTGCCTTCCTTTCTAGTGAAAAATGCCAATAGCAATTATGGCTTTTCAGGTGCTCTTTGAAAACGGAGGTGCAACTACAGCGAAGCAAGGAACTCCACCACGCCTACACTGCGCTGCCTGTCAGATCTGGACGGTCAGCAAAGTCAGAGGCAACCTTCATGAATTGTTTTCGCTGGATGGGAAGCACAAACAACGCCTATTATAATGCCAAGAGAGTGGCCCAGCTGTTAGAGGGGATCTCCCGGTGGACCTCCTGATCTATGCCCATTTTGCGAGTACGAGAAAGGCGCTGGAGTTTTGATAAAATCTGGAGAGGATCGCTAAAGTTTTGTTGCTACTTTTCAAAGAACTCTCGCCACGAATCATTTCTATACAGCAGGCCATCCTCCTACGGGAGGGCCTGTGCCGACAATACGTGCGCTGCGAAGTGCCACTAGAGTTTTTGACATCACACGATAACCGTCGTGAGAGGCAATAGTGAAGACTACTTGAGGTTGGAGTTTCTCCCAAACGCGACCCATACTCCGGCCGCTGCGTTCAGGGCCCCAACGGGGGCCCTGAGCGCAGCGGCCCAAGGGCCTAGGGCGGGCATGGACAGGGTTCGGCCTATCATGAGTTGCAGGAGACCTGTCTGCAACTAATGCTGCAGGCCAGCCACATGTGCAAGCACAGCCAAATCCACTTTGCTACACGGGTTAATACTGTGGCCACTTGCTAAGAAGTTTGTTGGCACTATTTAGCCAGCCTGGACACAAGCAGAGATTCGCGCACTAACCTTACACCGAACATGGTACACCAGACACACGGGCTGCTGTCCCGAGGACAACTAGAAGCGGGGAAAGATGTCACATGCTTTTGGAGGACTCTTATCTTAAGTCTTTGACATCATTTCCGCTAGCCACCAGACTCAGCTAAGAAGAAAGGCCTCCGCCGTGACTGTAGGGTGGCTGTGGTGCTGGGCATTACAATGGCGCCTGTACATTGCCTTGGGTCGCAGAGGGCAGCAAGTAGCACGTGTAATACAATAATAAAAAACAATATAATGTGATACAACTGCTAAAGGTCTGATGACTAACCGTGCTGGTTCAGTGTCGAGGGACGTGAGTCTGCAACCGATACCGCTTCGCCGTTACGACCATAGAACCTTTTTACTTCAATGGTTAGGTGTGTTTAGGGTTTGTTTAAACTTTTTTGTCCGCTTGCTAAAGACCCTCATAAGCTAGCTGGTTTCAGATAATCGTGTGGCTACCGCAGCAGGGCCAGGCGCACTACAAAGGCGATGAGGACTCTACACGTGGACAAGTTGAGCATGTTGATTTATAGCAACTTGTTCGTAGGAGAAAGGAAGTGAAGTTAAAAGCTAATTGACAGAATAGAAAGGGCGGGACGAAGCGGGAAGAACGCTTCGCAGGACACCACATTGGTATAGATAAACAGCACTGGGCACGCAGTTTCAATCCATAGTCAAGAAGGCTGCTCAGGCGGCTGCGAACCGAAGATGAGGCTGAGGAACGGTTCACTCAGCACTGCCTGGTGCGGGAATGCACGGATGCAGGGGTGAACTCACTACAGAAATTAGCTTGTTCTGCTGCCCTTTGCACACCAATCGTTGCAGTTGCAACTGAAACCGCCGCCAGTCAGTCCTCTGCAATGCCCCATCTAGGTGTTCCGTGGTGCGCTCGGTGCCACCAGTCACAGATGGAACTTCCCGTTGGAGCAATAGTCGTGCAACATGCGCCTGCATACATGAGAGGTGATCTACTCCAATTTGTTTTCACTACTGGCCACTTTGACAAGTCGCATTTCTTGTGACCTCCTTTGCCAAAGGAAAATACCGTCGAATTATCTTCATGTTAGCGAGCCTAATGCTATCCATTTGCTATTCACTACTGCTTGGACAATTACTAAAACCCTGCACACTTTGCCAGCGATCAGCTGCTGCTGCAGGCAAACGCTAGCTGACATTTACGTCGAATATTTTCCCATCAGCCCTTAAGTAAGAAGCTTCACAGAAAGTCTTACATGGGATATAGAACGAAAGACTTGAGGAACTGCAAATGAAATGGCTGCTAGCGCTGCCGTTTGGTTTGCTCTTCTGATTAAGAGCTGCTCGAGGAGCCTTGCACGCCCTTCAGCGCCGAGCCTTCACGCTTAAACGATTCGAAGAAAAGAGAAATCGTACGATTCATCAGACTCAGGGTAGGTAAAGGCTCAAGGATTGCCAGCAGTTGCATTAGTTCTGTCTTCGCTCTGAAATGTTTTCGCTGAAGAATCTACATGCAAAAGGCCAGTTAATTTGCTGCAGGATTGACCTAGAAGCTCTAGTGAACAGCTCGCTTTCGTTGCTGAAGCAGCTGACGTCGTCTCTTCGAAGTGTGGAAATGCTCGTGCACTCACCGTTGACCAATGTGTGGTTTCCTGCTGAGAGCCATGGCAAAAGGGACCTAGCACTACTGTATGAGATGTCCACTTGCTTCTGTATCCAGATGTACAGAGAAAGCTACCACAACGATCTGGAAGAATCAGGAAAACTTAGTTGAACTGAAATGAAAAAGTATGGTGACAGGACTGAAGTGCTGCTGCTGTGAATGCAGTAAAAATGTTACTGCACGAGGCTTTGCAGCATGCGCAAAATATCTCTGGCAAACAGTACCCTCTTTGAGCTCGAAAGTACCGAGCCCACGGATAACGAATCCCCGTCGAATACAGTACTCGCTTCCTAGAGGCTTCTTGGAACCGCTGGGTGAAGCGAAAAGGCGAAGATGCCATTTGGTATCCTAAAACCACGGAGGACTCTAAATGCTAGAAAGATAACCTGCACTTGTGTTATGTATCGTCAGCCTTATTTTGTTGTTTTGCGGAAGGTTGAACCGCATTGAGACAAGCGTCTCGCCAAGAACCCTTTGCTTGCCTCGCGGAAGGATAATATAAACACGTGTAAGTATACTGGCTCTGAGCAGGTCTCGTGATGTGCGAGCAGCCTCAACAAGAACTAGGAAATATCTTGTGCCTCCAATGTTTCTGCGGAATTCTCTGCTATAGTTTGATGATTGCTTGTGCCGCTGGAGGAACTACTCGTCACAAGACTGCTTGCAGTGTTTCTGACTGATTGCCTCTCGGTGCCATCCCCAGCTTCATCAGATTGCAAGCTATGGCTAGGCGGTTCCTCCGTTTGACTCTCGCGGCTGTAGTGTACCAACTGCAAGTCTACAGGAGAATTTCCTGCCTTGCTCTCCTGATATCCGGCGCCTTTGGTTCCTTCTTGCTTTGGAGGAGGCAGCACGTTCAACTTCTTCATGGCCCTTGCTCTTTGACGCTTCCTTCGTAGGCGACTGTCAAATGGCCGGACTGTTGCGCGCAGGTGATTCACTGAAGCTGCAGCGCAGCAATGCGCCACTGCGATGATGAAATACAGCCCAGCAAATATTGCCTGTTCAATCAGCATGCGTCGAGAGATCTTTAACGCATTTTCCAGTTGCTCTGCTTGCATGGTCTCATTTTCTTGCAAACTTTGTTGACGCTTTCGTAAGCGGGTCACATTAACAAGCCCAACAGAGGCAAATGCTATTGAGTACAAAGTAAAGAGAACCTCTAGCATCACGAGGCCAACAAGAAGGACGTGACTTTTTTTGTGAGCTGCGATGATGGCCAACATGCAGGCAATGACTGAAGAACATAACAAGGCTAATGACGAGTATATATCAACAGCCCTGATTGCCATCTCGGCTCCGCATATGGCTGAAGTGATAATCAGTGAAGAGAAGCAAGCGACCAAGGCGGGCAAGGTACGAATACTCTGAAGACGACGGGAGATTTGCAGGTATGATGGTCGTTTGTCAAACGGAGTGAGGGACTCATCTTCTGCATCGCAGGGTCCGTCGATCTGCGACAGGTGCGGCTCGTAGTCCGTCGATGCTGCTTTCACGTCGCAGTTGCTTGCTGCTACCAATAATTCTGCTGGACTGGTGTCGTCCAGAGATTCGACTGGGGGTCCGACCAGGGAGATAGATTGCTGGTTCACGAGAGGCAAAGAATTCTTTACATCATTAGATGCGTCAGATGCAACACTGGAACCTAAAACAGTACCGCACGCACTGCTTTGGCGACTGCAGGAACTATCGTTTTCCTGCATTGTCAGTACCTGCCAGAGTTCTGATTTGGCTGCTTTTTCCGAAGCCGGCTTGGGACCCCTCTATCCTGTTTCACTTTGGGGAAAACTACCAGTCCTAGCATTCGGTTTGCTCTCTGATTCTCCTTTGCTACTCGACTAAACTCTAAACCCTCGACTTTATACACATAGGGGAGCTAGGGGAAAATGCGGTGTATGTTGCAGAAAAAACAGCATTAGCATTGGCGGAGCGCAACCGAACCGTTGCACGGAAGCACCTGCATTCCCAGCAGAAGCACGGGATATATATGATATTGTGAGGAAAGCTATTTTGGAGAGCACTGGTGCTGGAAGGTAAGCATTAAAACGATGGATTCTGCTTGTGGTGGGTCACTCTCCGCGTTGAGAACTTCACAAGCCCCAAAGTAGTTCGACTTTCCCTAGATAGGTGATATATTTGCCAGTCCTTTACAACAGGGAAGGACGCCAGAGCTTGGAGTTCGGCTCGGGTGATGTTTGCCGAAGGCCTTTAGTGCCTGGTTCCTAGGGGGAAGATGGCCAGCCGGAGAGCCCTTACCCCTGCTGCTGTGCGGGACACAGAGTCTAGGGTCTACGTTCTGTTGTGAGGAAAGGACGTAGGTCCTAGAGCCTGTCTCAAGAAAAAAACCCAACAAGTGACGTATTTCAATTAGCAGAGAACTTCAATTCATGCGCATGCATAGAACTCATAGAACTCTGGCGTTACTTCGAGTGAGATCGCTGGCGACGAAAAATAGACTGGAAGTTATAAGTGCATAGGCACACGAGAGGATAATTAGATGCGGGAAGCATTTCGTTTTGCTTCAGTTGAGTAATGGCAGGATGGAATGTTGGGTTGTTGCGAACTAACATGAAGAAGGTAGCCACCCCAGTAGATAATCGAAGTTGAGCCGCCTGCGCAATGACTGAAGGAGTATACTAGTGGCAACAAGCGGCTACTAAAGTCATGTATTTTTAGGTATTTTGCTCTCGTATTTGTGAGTGCTATTACTCTTTAGGTTAGTATGAGCACTGGAAGCAATTTTCTTGTAAATATTGCCATTCTTTAAGGGCGACCTGTGCCACTTTCGTTCGCCGTCGTCAATGCCCCTGTTCCTATGCAGAAGTGCAATCTTCTTCTTAATGCCTCGAACGGAATACAAACTCTGGCAATGAAAACTATTGTGAGGCTCTTCTGCTGAATGCACCTGGGATATGAGCTGCGCAGAACAACAACTGGCGCAACGGCTAGACTCCGACTTAAGCGAGCGCTCAAACAGGCAGGCTCCTCCTTCCCCAGGCTTTCCTAGAAATTCCCTGGGTCGCCCTAATATATGGGTTTGATACTTCGTAGAATTGGCCGGTTACTCATCAGGAAGGAGCGAGCACCGCTCTTTCAAGGTGTAGGGGGTCGTAGGCTTCCTAACCACTTCGCAAGCCAGTGGCACCTTGGGTACGCATTAGAGAGGCTGAGGAGGCCCTAGTGAGCTGGGTACTGAGATGATCTATGTTTTCTATACTGGGCTTCATTTCTAATTTGGAGGTGAAAGGTGGAGGGGATGGATGCCTGAGGCAGCCTGTCTCCAGATTGTGGCATCCGCGGCTACAGCTTCTAAGGAGCGAGGGAGGCAAGAGCCTTCCCAGGGAGATCTTCAAAATCAGCTGCCACCTGCCAACCTGCCAAAGCTTTCAGCTAATATGCACATACGTTGCAGGCTTTTTGAGCCGATGGGTACAAAGCGTTCTCCTACATCCAGTGAGGAACAGCTGTAGGCGGTCGTAAATATGTTCCCGGCCTGTTCCCACTACTGTAGCTGTGGGTGAGGACACTCGTCCTTAGAGCTTAGGAGAAGTGCTTTTGCTGCCGGTTCCCCGATTGAGCAATCGGTCGTAGCTTTGTGGGTTGGTGCTTCGCCGGAGATGCAGGGGCGCACCCAGATTTGGCTTCACACTTCTCAGAATAGGAAGCTCCCGCCGCATTTGTGGAATACACGGCTGGCGAATGAGATGCCTGAGTTTCTTGGGTGTTCATACTGAGTAGACACGTTTTACAAATATAGCCAAAGGCAAAGATCGACGAGCCCTATTTGCTTGCGAACTAGGCCTACCCTAATGACTATGATCCAGCAAGGTTGCATTCTCGCCCTCTTCACCCACGCATGACGGGCACTCCATCATAGCAACTATAAGTACTCCATCACATGCAGTCTAACGAAAACCTCGAGAAGCGCCTCTACCATAAAGTGCTTATGAACACCGAAACTAGCCATCTAATCGCTGTTGTGGTTGTTGGTTGCGCGCTGCGTTTTTGAAAATACAGCGCGGTAGGTATTCATGGATAGTGCCACGAGGCCAAAAAGAAAACAACTCGCAAAGCAATTTTTTTCTGAGCAGGCTGCCAAAAACCCGGAGCTCGAGGAGTTGGCTTGGTAGCGAAAGTTGTCTCATTTTTTCATTAGGGGAGGCACAGCCTTTTCTACTGTGAGTGTTGGGAAGATTACGTAGACTGAGACCTAATGAAGTGCCCGCACGCGAAGCGCCACACGGGATAATATCTTGCAAGCACAGACGAGTGCGGGATATGTTTTGCGACGGCCATTAAACGCTGCAACGCAACAACTCGCGGCATTGGTGAGTGTGTGTAGCGACTACCGTGGTCAGCCTGCGGATGGGGCTCAACACGCTGAGGTTGCTTCAAAATTTAGTCGGTGCAATGTTGACCGATACCGGAGGCCGACAATCAGCAAAGAAGAAATGGTTTTCGTCGCCTCCTGGCACTCGTGAGAGCCCCGGACAGACTTCCCCTAAGTATCCCTTCGTGATTTGGCGAGCCGCTGCTTAACACACGTAGGGCTGTTGAAAACGAGCCGCAGCTTCCCTCCCTCCAAGTTAACAGTTGCCACTCACTAGTGTGGGAAAAAATGAAGACTCTGCACAAGGGGACGAAGGCCAACAGCTATGCACCATAGACTCATGACAAAAGACGCTTACATTCTTCTCGGCTAAGGCGAAGGAGGCTTTTCTTCCTTCGCTTCAGTGTCCAAATATTCTATCACTTCTGCACGCTTCACCTGCTTACTACTTACTTCCTCCCGGCTGGCCAACCGTTCACTAGCTGCCTCTCCAAGTAAGGCCCTACGATGAGTCATTGGCACAGAAGCTTCGAATCCGTTAGGAGATTTCTCCTCACAAAGGACTGGTTCTACTCCATGCAGAGCTTAATCGATATCTTCCCCTCTAAGTTTGCTCACTCTTTCCAGATATCTGCACACGGACGCGACCCCCTGTGCAGCCGCCGGTGCGGCGAGGTCTGCCGGATGCTGGTACATGCGTTCCTAACTGGGCCCTCTAGCTACTGGTGACCAAGTGAGTGTGTAGCAATTGTCGTCAATGCTATTGCATGCACCCAAAGGGGCATGGGAACGCGTACATGTGGGTTTTATGCAGCAGGAGTTGCAGCCAGGTGCGTTGCGACTCGTTACAAGCCGCCTCATCCCTCACCTCTCCATCAGCACCACGACCATGGGCCGCTGTCTCCAGGGCGCATGGAGACGGGAGGGGAGGGAAGCCGCTTTTAAGAAACTTCTGCCTTAAGTGTCTTGACACAACTGCACCTCATGACGGTTCTCAGCTGAGATCGGAGACTATCCCTCTATGTTCAGTCACTGCCCATTCCCGTCACCTATAGAGCGCTCTATATCCGTTACGTTGAACACACTCACAGGCTCGTCAGCCACGCGCTTATTTTTCACAGGCTCGTCTGGGCACATTACGCTTGTTGCCCCACACATTATGCTCTTCTGCTGCTCCGTCCTAACGTCCTCCCACGCAAAACATTCGGACTCGTACCAGTCCTCAAATTTCCTCAAATGGCATGCAAAATACGCATCCCAAAACTAGAAATGCAAAACTTATTTCCGGGACGCTCCTTGCCATGGTTTGCCTGCCCAAGGGCGCACGGTGCACACAAGCGCGCTCGGCAACAGACCCGCTTCCAAAATGCAGTGGCTGTCTAGACGGACGCCTTACAAATCCCTTTACGTCAACGCAGCCCCTACGCGTTCGGTCCCTGTTCTCGTGAGATCTTGCTTTAGGGCGAGAGAAATGTCTAACGAGCTTATTCGTTGAATCTCTTGCAGGAGAGGAATCCCGCTGCCTAAACCGCTGCAGTTCGTAGGTGGTCTATTTCAGGTGGACCACAGTGAATGACGCACATCAAATTGGACAACCGTTTATACACAGCGACGCAAGCTCTGCACAGTCGTACCGTACTTTCAGGCTGTGATTGCATGGGATCTCTTGAGCCAGTGAATGGATCCACGTTCAGATCGCAGAAAACAGGTCTTGACGCTATTGGCTGGATATCATGCCCTTCCAGGACATTAGAAGTTGAATTACGGAAGTCAGCGAAATATGGATTTTGTATTCTGGGGAGGCCCTGATGCGCCCTTTACATAATCACAAGTGACAAGCTAAATGCTTTGAAAACCTGAAGGGCAGCTACTGCCTGCCTTGGTTCCTCCGACTGCAGCGTGAATCGCATCCGTTCATGTCCAGGCTACTGGGTCTGAAGGGGTACCGCTACATTTCGAAGAGCGGATCCCGTTTAGCTATCAAATGAAGAGACACCCTGTTAGGAGGGTTTGGACATACGTTGAGCTAGAGCTCTAGCCAGGCGTGCTTCCGGCTGCATGGGCATATACAAAGCATTCTTTTGGCCCGCTACTTGCTGATGCAGGTTCCCCATAACAAAATGACGCGGTCCAGCTGGTCAAATGCAGAGGTTGCTTTGTTTTATATACGCGACACACACCGAAATTTGTAAAGCTTTGCCGACGCTCACGAACACTTCTCGCCCGTGGGTGCCATAAGGAGCATCTAGGAATGCCGGCCGCTTAGTGCTCCAATGCAGACAGTTGTTAGGGAGCCCCAGTGTTTTACGGCGCCTCATTAGTGCCTACAGGGGGATTGGGCGACTTGCCGCTTTTGAGACTGCTCCACAATATGAGGAGGACTAGGACAACCAAGCATGCAACTCCACCGCCAAGAGCTCTATAGATAGCTACCTGAAGGGAAAGGGAGAAAATAGCTGACATATTTGTGCAGCAGCTTATGCTTTGTAGCGTTATTGAGTTAGCACGCGATTGGCTGTAAAATGCTAAGAACTAGAAATGCTTGGTCGCACATAATAAAAGTTAGAGACGGTAGATTCGCAAGCTAGAACGGCCATTTGGACGACGTTGCGCCGAAGGAAGCGGCAGTTCAAGGATTTCCTAAGCTGTTCCAGAGGATGAATAACCTTCTCATTTATTTCTCCAATTGAGTCAGATACTGTAAACAGCAAGACGGAACGCCTAGCAACCCTGCTCGAGAATAGCGTGGCGATTATGCTGCTTTAATATGCTGTTCTGAGGGCTTGATCAAGGCAATATACCACAGGAAGTCTCACCTGCGTGAACGAAACACGAGGAGATCCGTAGGTCTAGTCAGAAGATAGAAGCACCACAATAAAGGCGAACAACGGAATTTGGATGCGGTGAAATTCGGCAGTGTCAATACCATGGCTTCCTTTTCTTGTACAGTTCTGACACGGCTCAAGCTAATTCGAAGCGGATCTGGGCGCACTTGGACCGAAAACAAAAGTTACCGAGGTGAGTTTCCGGTGTTATATGCTGCCTAGCCTTACATGTTTGCGCAGCAGCACGCTGATTACTAAAAAGACAGGAGGCACGAATCTCGTTTTCCTTTACTCCAAACATTTCCCCGTACCCACAGACTTCCATCATGCCGTCTCGACGCTTGCATGAATATTTCGTGTCAAGTACTTTCTGCTTCTGCTTGAGCCACCAAATACCATTTTTCGTCCACACTTTGAAGCGTTCCGAGTCTGCTTCTGCCTCTTCTACGCTCAATCCGTTGGCATTCAGCTCCGTCATCTACACCACGGACGCACATCCATATGCAGTACGCACGTGAGCGCCATTGATGGTTCTGAGCTCACGATGCAGTGGACTAGCGTGCAAAGAGGTCTAGGGAGAGGAAGCGTCGGCAGGCAGCCACGTGAAATGGCAAATGCGTGCTTGCCCGTCCAAACAATTGAAACATCTGGCGGATGCGCTAGACGATTATCAATTTCGAGCGCTTATGAAAGCAGAGAAGAGACTATTGAAAACCTTGTAGCGTAAGACACACTTGCACGTAGGTAAGCGTGTACGCAGCTCCGTATAATGATTACGCTGCTGTTACCATAGGAAGAAGCAGCGTGCGTCTTGGAAATACAAGAAGCCCTTGATTCCTTTTGAAATTCATGCGAGCGGATTTACCGATGTACCTACCTTGCGCTGTTTTAGGTCTTCTAGCCATCTGATGAACTTGACGTTTGATTCAACTGGATTGTCTTCCCTCACAATAAACTCGCCGTCTGGGGGCTCATCAGGATGAAGTGCTAGCAATTTCCATGGAGCAACAAGGCTCTCAAGTGTTGCAAGCCCATAAAGTGTTCGTCCACCTATATCCGTGTCCAGTAGTTGCACACCACTCTGGATGAAAAGAAGAAGCAACGTCCACTGGATACAAAAAAATATTTACCAGTGCACGAGCCACTGCGTCTACGCACTCTTGAAGGTGCAGGACAGTCCGTAAGCAGATCCGGCTAACTCATTCCGAGCACAAATGAACTAAGCGGCCTCTTCTTAGCTACTTAAAGATACTTGATCTCATTACTTAAGTAAGGACTGCATTCGAGGAAATATTATGTACATGCAGTTTGTTGGTTTGCCAACACAAATAAGCACAAGTGTTTATGCAACCAAGATTACAAGGGAAGAACACATTGGGCCTTTTAAACAAGTAGCTGATACAAGCGTGAAACTTCGTGCTCATATGCTGCTGCATACATGCTAAGAAAAGCGCCGCCACACATAAGAATTCGGCGTTGTGAAGCCGTCGATGCTTGTGACGACTCTATTTGCTTGCTATAATTATAATATGTTGAGATATATATAATTTTTATATAAAGAATATATATTTATAGAAGTATTAATTAAATATTTATTGTTAAGCCGTCGATGCTTGTGACGACTCTATTTGCTTGCTAAGCTTAGCGCAAAGCGAGAGAACCAGACCCGCTCGGCTGTGGGGGACAATGCTAAAATTACCTCCAAAAATTCGGGGAAAACCTCCTTTCTGCTGTCGGTTACGGAAGATGGGTCAGCTGCCACCAGGGCGCCAAATAAGTTGGCCGCACTAAGATAGTTCTCAGCCAGTTCTACGAACAGGGACAACAGCATCAACCGCAAGAAACCTACCCTTCATTGGCGTGTTTGGACACACACATGTAGAATATCTCCCCCCTAAAAGATCGTCAGACGAGCCACATCGGATCCATACCTGAGGTTGCCTTATCCAGAGGACATAAGTTGGCGGGGAAGCCCTTCAGTGTCTCTTGAAGCGCGCCAAGCATTTGGTCGTAAGCTACGTCCAATCCGACTCCAGCAAGCAAATCACCGTCTCCATCCTTTGTCAGGCATTGGGAGATTAGCGGCTTAACCACTGGCGCATAGTCAGAAACCAGGTCCCATTTGTCTTGCTCTAAGAAGTCGTTTATGATGATGGAACATCCTTGTCTACCGAGTGTCATGACCCACCCTAGAGCACCACCAATGACCAGGAGTACCACAGCCACCCACGTTAAGACGTTCCACAGGATTGCTGGAATCACACCTTTGACCTTGCTCCCTCGACAGAAAAACCATGCAGCCCACAGGGTTACTAGCAACAAGATGGCCAAGTAAATAGCACAATCCACTTTTAGGGCAGCATCGAGCCATCCCAACACTTTTGAGATCGTCTCGTCATTTTCCCCCAAGACATCGAAGGCTGTGAAGAAAAGCTCCTTGATGCTTTCAGTGGGGAGGCTCGCTTGTATATTCAGGGCTGGAAGCGTGACCTTCGTAAATAATCTTTCCACGTATTCTTTTGGGTTCATTTCAACGAGATTCTGAGCAGAGCTGCTCATCTGTCCTTCTATGCCGATCAGCCCCGAGCTAGAACTGTTGCGAAGATCACACCACACGGATTTGTGAAAGCTTCCAGAAAGCGAGCTACTCGCATAGAAGGAGACACACGCATCGGAAAGGAATTCGGTGGCGCTTTTCATTTCGTCAGCCAATGGGCCAACATCCAGTGCGTTTGTCGCCGCCCGCTTGGACAATTCAACAATATTGTTGGGATTAGCTCCATCAACAAGAAGCGCCAATGACTCCACAGATTCAATCAAAGGCAGTAATCCTTCAAATGCGTCTGACGGCGGCGCATCTACTTCGGTATCGTTTGTATGCAGAGAAGCACTTCCTCGAAGTATCTCATCCGCAAAGGCGTATGACTGGCAGTACGCCTGCTTCGCACCTTGCACACCTTGTTTTTGGTACAAAAAAATTAAGCAGGCAAATACGATGCCCGACAAAGTCACGACTACAAGTGCAATGGCCATCAAAAGGCGTGAGCAAACTTCGAACTGTTTAAAACAGGACTTTGCGCAGCAACACATGCGACGAAGGCATTTACAACAGAGCTTTGGGAGGCAACAAAGTATGTACGCTAAAGCCACAAGGATACCTGCAAGAATGGACAGGCCAAAGAGGCAACTGCCTTTGATAACAGCAGCCAGACTTCCCTTCCCTGCTAGATACTCGTAAAGAGCTGTTGATTCTGACTCGAGAGTCGTCACCGCGCCGAGAAGGCTATTCATCCAGCGATCCACAAGCCCCACTGCCTCGAAAACCTTTTCAGATGTAACAAATCGCATCCACTGCTGGTGACGTACTTGACAAACAATTGTAAGTCTTATGAATGCACTTTTTGTGCCCCTGCCGGCCAGTTGAATTCCTGTTTTTGGATTCGGCGAGCACTGTTGTGCCTTGCCCTTAAGGTCGCTGCATTTCCCTCTTGGGCATTCAAAGCCAAATATGTACCAGCCTAAAACAGCTCACTGATTCACTCAAGTTTTTGAAGAGGCTGTCTCTCACAGTTGGTGAACAGGCGCGATTCATCGCATCGTCGAATTTCTCTACGGTGGTTGACAGTGGGGGCATAGCCTCGTCACTGTCATCGGGATTACTGCTTCCTTCGCCGTGAATGTTGACCATACTAGTCACAGGGATGGTGCGTGCATTTTCTTGAGGTTCTTCAGCAAATGCCTTCATGAAGCTTTCTTGCAGAAGGGAGATTGACCTGTCTGGCTCTTGCTTTGCTTCCCCTCCACCTGCGTCTACTGCGTACGCATAAAAAATGCGAAACATTTTAAAACATCAGATAAGTGCAGGTGAATGCTACCACCTTGACATTCAGACGCGGGGCCTCTCGCGTAATAAGCAGAATCTGGTTGGCGACTGGGCTTTGCCGGGATGGACAAAGGCCGTAGTTGTGTGGGCACCTCCCGTATTCAAGGATATAGTTTCCTAAAGCATTCGGATCTCCCCAGAAATTTGATTGCACCTTCTCAAAAGTGGGACTGCACTAGCAAGCTTGTGTGCTTGCGTTTGGGTCCTCGCCACTGCATCAAATCAGGCGTTGCTCTGTTTTCCACTTTTGTGGGTAGTGGCATGCACAGTCTGGACAAAGGGCCAAGATGGCAAAAGTGGACTAACCTGCAAATGAAGCCTCCTGGACTGTAAAATCATTTACATCGTATCCTAGTGAGATGCCAAAGGCAGTAACAACCAGTAGGGAAACTATGCAGAGTCGTGACTTCCTGTGGCCGTTCTGCCCGTGGAAGCGAATCGTCTGGTAGGTGCTGGCTGCCTTCATGGCAATGATATCTAGCGAAAGAGTCATTGTAGATGCTCTCCGCCTGTAAATGTGGGATATGCTCATCAATGCGAGTGGCGCAGAGACCTTTTATAAGAACGTGCTGAGAAATTGCGGCTGTACCTCCTTTTTTGGAGTGACAGATGATGCAGATAATGTAATATGCCAGGAGTCAATCAATTTCGGGACCATTATACAGCATGCCACCCTCTGGTAGACCATGCCTGCCAACATCAACAGAGGAAGCAAGCAGTGCCTCCCTGTCTCGTCGGTGAACTTCCTTTGAACAACTCCGCTCGCTAAGAAACGTAAATAAAGCTAGTGCGGAGCACCAAGAGTAGATCGTTCATTGCTCTCAGGACATTCTATCGTCTGTTCCATGCCCGCGCAGAAAACATGGAGACGCTGCTGACCTGATTTGCCGCAAACAAGCTCCAACGCACACAGTTGCGGAATGAAGAATAATATGAAGGCCAACAACCTCTGAAACACTGGGGAATTAAGGTTCTCGTTATTCTGTAGTATGCGCGAGACACCAGGTGGGCCTGAAGTATGCTGGTGAGGGGCCGCTGGACAAGTAGGTGACCCCGCACACGGCAAGGATGCAAGGAGAGCTTCTTTTTAGATTGTTATATTGCACTTTAATGATTTAACTTAGCCAATTCTTTTGAACCTGAAGACGAAGCAAATGCGACTAGCTTTGACGGTTTCCACTGCATCAAAGCCGACGGTTGAAAGTGGTGTGGCTCGGCGTTCAGGGGACCCCACCAGTGAAAACTCAATCCAAACAAACACGTGCCGTAAATACCTGGGGGCTCCACAATTAGAGTGGGTATGCTGCTAAAATGCCGCGTGACAGAACCTACTAACAGGAGCACGTTGAATAATTTGTTTTCGGCTGGTGAGTGAGGTGTTGAGACTGATTACAACGAGCCTACTAAAATCGGAGAGAAATCAAAAATTTATTATTTGATGGTATTTTTGCACGAGCGGCGATGGAGCGAATGCGGGTGCAACCGTTAGAGAATCACCTTGTCCTTGAAGTCGACAAATTCACGGCGAGCTCCTAAGCTATCCGTATCCTGAAGAAAGAAATGCTGATCGAGCAGCGGACCGAACCAGGGAGACAAGACTGGTCCTCCTATAGGCCCTCAAAATCATTCGCACTGCATCATAGAGCTGCCAATGGTCTGAGCAGGGCATCGGCTACGGCAGTGTTTGTTGACCCAAACGAGGAATCGCGGGTCGCCCTGGCGATCACAGAATCCAGGATGCCTTCCAGTCTGAATTCCGTAGAAGAACGTGTAGACGCTCATTCCACCATGCGCGTGCCTCCATTTCTCCAGCCCGTGGTAAATGCGCACTACACAAGCTGTGGCAGGCAATCTCCCGCCTCTGCTTCTGAAAAGGTAGGCAAAGCAGCACCGAAGGAGCAGGCTGCAACGTCAAAGAACGGTAGGTTACCGTCAGCTCCTTCGACAGCATCTACGACGACGGCAGAAACCACAACAAAGGTGACAGTTGCACCTTCTAGAGAGCCCTTGCATGGAAACATGAGAGCCGCAGCCACTCTGTTGGCATGCAAAGAAACACAAGTAAACCCTGCACAAGGAGATGCAGGGACTATTTCTGGGAAAACGTTTCAAGAAGAGCCTTCCCCTGCCTCAGCATTGAATCCTCACAAATCCACACATCTAAGTGTTCCTGCAGCATTTGAGGGATGCAGTGTGCCAGACAAACAGTGCTCGGCCATGAAGCAGAGAACGCATTCAAACGAAGATACTCTGGCAAAGAAAGGTACTTTACAGTCTATACGAGATATTAGGGCAACTGCTGAAGAAGGCTCAGAGGGAACCAAATGCAAAGGGATGCAGTATGATCAATCAGTAGCTCGTCTCGTTGCGGCTCTGGGCGCATCCAGCCTGCGCTTGGCAGCTGCTGCAGAAGAGGGTCTTGACAGCAGCTCTTCAGATGATCGCAGCAGAACATGGCAGCACTCAGAGAGATCTCCAATACGAACATCAGTAAATGCAGAAACCGACCCTCTCCGGACGGTATCACCTTCAACTCCAGCCACGAATTCTCTAGCATTTACGCAGACACGAAGTTCCCCTTTTACGCGACGCGTCCCTTCTACTCCAAAGGCGGCTGCAAAGAGCAGACGAAAATTATCCCCTTTTGTAGACGTTTCTCGAAACCGCAGGTCTCAAGAATCTGCACAGCAAACACCATCACAACGATCCCTCACTAAAGAAAGATTAAGAGCTGGCAGGCGCAGTGACACAATAAATCAGAAACAGATTGTCAACCATCACCATAAGTTCGAGGCTATTCTTCTGGACTTACGTGCGAATGCACAGACAGCTAGTATGGCGTCTCAGGAGAGTGAGGCGCTGCCTTGCCGCAATACTTGCAGTCCACCTGCAGTGGGAAGCACTCGGAGCAGCAATTCAGACAGCAAGACTTCCATTACGGAGGTGCGGACCACTTTTTCGAAAGAAGCCGCGGTTTTTCCAACCGGTACTCCAGATGGCCTTCCTTGGGATAGCCTTCATCGCTCAGCAGAATGGCCTTTGCTGGCGCATGGGCCGCACAGGAGTGAAATTTTGAGGCAAGATTGCGTATCCAACGCTGACCATGGAGAGGAAGAGCGTCAGTTTTCTCTGTTGTTACAACACTCCCTTGGCTTGTTGAGACGAGAAGCTGCTCGGTGTTTCGCAAGCACGCAAGCTTCTGTCAAGCAGAAACTTTGGAGGGAGCTACAACACGAGCGGCACTTGAGGCTGCAGCTTCAGCAAGAGCATCAAGTGGGATATGCAGCTGCTGAAGCGGAGCTGGTTTCTTTACGTGCTCAGCAAGTGGAGGATCACGAAAGGATGGAGAAAATATTGGGGCTTTGCTGCAGGAGGAAGTACGCAGATGAGGGCTCTCAACTTCTTCGCTTTGCGTGGAAAGGATGGCAAATCCAGCGAGTGCTCTCAGGAAGGCTCAAAAAGCTTCAAAAAGCTTTGCAGCAGCGTTATCTGTTCATGCTACAGCTGCGGACATTCTTGCCATGGAGAGCCGCAGCTGCAAGACGCACGCTCGAGCAGAAGATGCAACGAACACAGATGCTTTTCCAGCAGGAGGTGCAACGACTTGGACAAGCCCACCTGAAAAACACACAGAAACAACAACAGGAACTTCAGCAGCTTCAGCAGCAACTGCATTGTGAGATGCACCTCCGTGAGTGCCTGCAACAGAGCCTCATTGGATTGGTTACCGGGGGAGGTGTCACGGCGGCTTCTCAGGGAGCTAGCTTTTCAAGCCCCAGGGGTACGATTTCTTTCGCTCCCGCAGCGGCTTTAAGAATACAAAAGCAGGAGCGACAACAGCGGCCGAAAGATCCGGAAAATCATACAAGACGGCAGAGGTTACTGAGAGTAGTTGGCACGCAGTCGCACCTTAGGAGCCGGCAACAACCAACGAGCCAGAATACATCTAGGCAGCAGCAGGACGAGCAACTACATCGGTTTCATTATCCCCCCAAGCAACCCTGGTGCCACTGGATCTCGCAAAATGCGGGGCTGGGAGTACCTATACTAAATGCCCTTTACAAGGTAGATCCCCGAGCAGCAAATGGCGTTGCAGCAGATGCTGCTCGGCGCGTCAAGTTTATGGATGACCAGGCACAGCAAGAACAGCAAACCCAACGGAAATTTCTGCTTTCCAACTTACTTCCTGACTCTTTGCCGCAAGGGCAGAATTACACTGGTGAATCAGCAGGAGTATCATCGTCTTCTCAGGCCTGTAGGCATCATCATTGCAGCTCCTCAGGGCTTGCGTCTTCTTCCGTTCCAAATTTTGGTTGTTGGGAGCTGATTCCCGACAATTCATTCAAAAAGAATGCTGCAGCAGTAAGGCGACATTCATCTGAGGACGATTCATTCCTGCAGCAGGTTTGCTCTCAACCAAATGGAAGCCTCGGAGAAAAACGCAACTATTCTGGTAGTGCCTCATGGAACCCTGCCCCCGTCGGCTCCTTTGGACTTGAGTTCCACTCACACAAGCAGACAAGGTGGACATCAGCAAGGCAGTCCAATCCAGAAGTATAGCGATTCGTAACGCCATATCCGGGCTAAAGCGGACATTTTGGGGTGTACTGCTCTCTCCAATGTTCGGCGTACTCTCAGCGCCTGAAGTAGGGAGTAAACGGTACAGAGGCAAAATGCAGACAAAAGGAACAATATGCCTATCCTTGAAGTACGCATGTGTTCCACTGCGTCGTACCCAAATGGCATCTGTAGGTGGGAACGTCGTAGGTTCACACGCTTGCCTTTATCCAACGAATTGCATGTCTTGCGTACACTAAAAATAGATAAATGTGAGCATTGCAACGGCAAATGCTTTTTTAGAAACCTGGATAAGTAAAGGCCATGTTCCGTGCTTTGCCGAATCAACATCGAATAACTACAATCAGTAATCCGTCCTAATGCCATTTTTCTGGACATGCAATATTGCTTGCCTGTTTTTCTACTTCACTTTCCTCGTTCCAAAACGGCGCTGCCAGACGTTCTATCGAAATGCAACGTTATTCTTGGCACGGCGACACAAAAAGGGGCTGGCATTCCAATGGGGCACGACATCTCATGCGTAGCTTATGTTTACTGGGATCAACAGCTAGCATGGCTACACAACCCTTTTAGCAATGGCCCCCTACCTTGCTTTTATGAATCCCAACATCAATCAGAAGTTTGAAGGAGCCTTCAAGAACGTGCTGGCATCCAAATATTATATTATTCCGCATTACGGGCACTGGATGCTTATCCTGTGGCATGGGCAAGAAATACATAAACTCAAGGCCAAATGCTTTTGCGCTAATCAAAGTGCGCCGACGATGCGCAGCAGCGTCGAGTTCTTTCAACCCATAGGAGAATTCGTTGTGCTCAACGAACATGGACCGAAATAGGCGGGTCTACGAGGGGCAGCATGCCAGCGTGCCACCTTCAACAGAGCCATTCGAGGGCTTCCGAAGAGTGAAGCTAAAACCTGTTAGAAATGCTGTATCAAAAGCTTCAATTTCTCCTCTACGGAAAAAGGCGAAATTGGCAAAGGAATACTAAACAGTCGTCTTCCCAAAGACGTAGCCGTCGAAACGTTCCATGTGCGAGCACTGGAGATCAACTAACTCCACGCGTGAAAGTGAATTCTTAACGGATGGAGTGTTCTCCACCTGGAAAAATTATGCGTTCTATTGGGTAACCCGTTGCCAGGAATGAGGTCCTTTGGTAAACCATGGTACCTCCGTGCAACGGGTTGGACGTTTCTTCTGCCACGCCCCTCCAGTTGCGCCAAGCTCAAAGTGTACCACCTTTCGGCAAAGAAGTGCCCCTCTGTATCTGTATATGGCTCCAATATGAACGTTTATCTTGCACCGGAGTATTGTGGGCATGATCGGTTGGAACATACACGGCCGTAGAAGATTCAGAAAGGTGCCGCTGCATACGTTGCAGGGGAGCATACCCATTCTCTAGAATTGCCTCCGGAATCTATGGATGACAATCCACCATCATATATCAATGAAAGTCTCGGGCGCAGGTCGTGCAAACCTATGGACGCCTTGCGCATTACGTCAGCTTTTTCGTACTCTTTGCGCTGTCCGCCTTTAGAGGATGCACTGACGCGTCACCAGCTTACTACGAGCTAGTAGTCCACTCAAGGCGTCACCATTTTATTCCTCTTTTAATAGTATTTTAAAACTCCTGCTGACGTGGTTTAATGGCACCTCTTTTCGAAAACCGAAAGAGTGAATGAAACAATGAAGGAGGACCATACTGGATTCAGAAGTGATAATAACGCTTCACTAAGCAGCTTGATTCCACTGGCATCTTACATTTAATCCATAGCGAGCCGCGGGAGCAGGGGACGCACCATTTCATGTGCATGCGTATAACTACTTCAGAGCTTAATACTTGGGCAAGGAACAAGGCTCTGTACAATCCTAAAAGGCGTGCAGCTGTTGTGGGGCTGCACGGCTTTTTGTTTTTGTTTTAGTTTCAGTTTGAAGATTCTTTCTGGCCAGATCTGGATGCATAGCCTGGATGGGACTTCCTGAAATCTGCCATCCTTGGAGAACTGCACTGCTCATCCCTGGATTCCTGGCAGGCGTCGCAGTAGCAGACTACCTGAATGTTCCGAAGGCAACCAAGCTGGCTGCACATAGGACAGTGAGGCCTCCTATATTTAGTAGAAGTATTCTCTGTGGTGAGACAAAGTGAGGGGGTCTCTGGCCTCAAGCCTCTCTTTTTCTGGCGTTTGCAAGCAATGCGACATGATTTCTGATTTCCAGTTGACTGCAATGTCGTTTCACAGGGTTTTTCCGGCGAAGAATCTGTAATTATTTCCCTTTTCGATGGGGACTTCCGAGATTCTGTCCCGCCCGTAGAGCTTGACTTAGTGGATTCGCTTTTCTTCAATCCACCCGGCACATCATGAGCAAGCGATATTTTTTCGCAGTCCGCATCAGCTGAGGAATCACCAAAGCCTCCACTCTTTAGATTTCTTGCTTCCGACTTGCATGCCACGCTGAAAGAAGACTCACTCACTCTTGATTGGCCGCTAGCCCTGGCTTTCCTCTGTGAACCCCTCCTGCAGTAGAGAATGAATCCGCATACGGAAATGGCTCTGTTGGCCATTTTGCATTCTATATTTGCTTGCATTGATGTATCTTCCCACCCAAGCTTCTACAATGCTCAGGGAATACAACGAAGTGTTTAGACTTTTCACTTGACCTATAAAAATCGGCAATATAGCGTACGCGGCGACACGGCTTCGTGTCAAGGCTAGCTTCGTGGTGAACGTATCACAGGTTTCTCCCTCAGCACGACGCAAGGCCATGCGCGGAGAGGAGCAGCGAGGCTTTCCACTACAGCACTGCGGGCAGTGACAACGGCAGTCCAGCCCGGCTCTCAGGGCCTCGCCAAGGCCACATTTTTCGCAGTGGGGGCGAAGTACGTCCGGCTCCTCTGGAGTTAATAGCCTTCGGCCCCTAGTAGATGTGTTGCACGACGCTCCAGCAGTTTTTGCACTAGTTTCTACCGTCAGGTCCCTGAGCAGAATCAGCATACAAATTTGCTACGAGGTTGGCATGTTCTATAACTCTCGTGCTCTCCTCAAGCAAAGTACTCTAGTTCCTTTGTTTGACGCGACTGCTCCAAAAGCATTCAATACGGGAAGAGCGCCTATGTACCTTATTCTTCGAGGAGTCGGTTGCCGCAACGGCAAAACACATTTATTCTATGCTGTTGGTTGGAAGCTCACTTTTGCGACTTTTCCACTCGACAAAAGAACGACCCTGTAATAGTAGTTGTAGGGCCCTTGGCCTCTCTAGCAGCAGCAGTCGGGGCCATCTTATCACTCGACTTTGTTCAGTCTGCCAGCATGTCCGTCACAGTTTCACGAGGTGAAAAAACAGGCTTGCTGAGGGCCACTATGGGGCATCCAATAGTTGGAAAGGGGATAACACGTGGCTAAGCGACCTGGGAACAGAAAATTTCACATTCAGTGCAAGGGAAGCTGATGATTTAACGCTTTGCACGGTGTGGAATGCCGGTGCGCCGATCACTGGCGAAGGCCGTGCCAGAAGCCAGCGTATGGGACTTACATGTTATTTCCTGTACGCTACAAGACTGTATATTATAGGCGGCATGTCTCACGAAAACCCTGCGCTTTTTGACGAGTTCAACAGCTAACTGCCGGCAGAGCTCTCCGCGCGAGCGCCGCCTCCAGGTGCGGCCGAATGCAATAGTAAGCAATGGCACCAGAAGCCCCCCATTTTTTGTATCCAGGCACTCAAGAATACACACTAACGAAAATTTAACCCCAGAAAGACGGTCATCCTTCTGGGCGGTGTTTTGGTGTATCCAGATAGCATTCCACATCCAGGGGGCGTTGAATCACCGAGCCGCGGGAGGTGCGTGGCTTTCACAAGGGCTACTCATCTCTCTTCTTGCATATCTTCGCTTGAATGGACGTGGAATGCGAATGTTAATTGAAAATGCTAGCTTAAGTTTGACAGGTAGGCAGGAAAATATCAAGAACATGTGACGTCGAAACTCACCTCCGCAAAACGTCCCCTGCGCACTCGACCAGGGTCACTCTACATTGCAACCACCTAGTAGATAAGGGCATCCAGAGCAATGATAAAGCCTTGTAAGTAAGAACGAGGAGGTCCCCTTCAAATTACCCGTGGGGACAACCGTAGGCAGGCCTACTTCTGCTGCTTGGTGATTACGTGGCTTGAAGCCGCTGATTGCATATGGGTCCTACAGTGCAGCATTAGTTTGATGGAATACGCCTGTCCTGTGCAGCCTTCTGCAGTTTATCTGAGCCTTCACATCTTCGCCCCCAGTGCTGATGCTGCTGCATGTGCCTCCAATCTATTGAACTATCGTCCTGTGGAACAAAGGACTCTACAAGGTTTGGCAAGAATTCACGCTATCAAGAGCGCAACCTCCCTAATGCAGGGAGATTGCGCTGCGGTAGAAGACCTTAATTAGAGCCATAGAGGCAAATACAAAGTGGTGCTGCTGACTTGCTAGGGCACGATGTCAGATCGTTGCGTACTTTACATTCCAAGCACAGATTTCCGTAAAGCGAGCACGAAACGAGCCGAAAAAACTGTCGGGCCGACAAAAAAAACTTCTTCTGAAGGCAGCTCTCCAAGAGGGGTTGCTGGAGGTGCAAAATAGATGCTGAAGGTCTGCACAGAGCTTTACGTGGTGATACGTGGCAAGAACGGCATGCCAAAAGTTCCTGCGAAGATATTTATGCACACCTCCACTTCTTGCCTCTTTGCGAAATGTCTCTGCAGCACCTAGGCAGTTGGCGAGGGCCTGAATGATCTAGCCCATACCCATATGGTTGATTCTTGTAACCTCCTTGCATAGATCGCATTGTAGGTGCTTTGAAATGCAGTGGACAGAGAAACAGCACCGAGATGCACCTGCGTGAATAATCGAGGCCACAATCAGCCACCAGTCTCACCAACGGAAGTACAGATAGTTTAGGACTGCCGTGTCTGTTGCTGCGGGCACTGGCAAAGCAAGCGGCATAT